TTTTCAGCAAGCGGGTCTGGCCTAGGGAGAATTTTAAATAGGGACAATTTTAATTAGAATTTTAATGGTAACACAGCGGTTAAATATTTGTTTTTAATTGGTTTTTATTGGGGATAGTGTTTGTATTGTTTTAATATGCTGTAAGCCGCCCTGAGTCCTGTTGGGAGAAGGGCGGCATATAAGTTTAAATATAAATAAATAAATAAATAAATAAATAAATAAATAAATAAATAAATGGCAATGACCCAAAACATACAGCCAAGGCAACAAAAGAGTGGCTTAAGAAGAAGCACATTAAGGTCCTGGAGTGGCCTAGCCAGTCTCCAGACCTTAATCCCACATAAAATCTGTGGAGGGAACTGAAGGTTCAAGCTGCCAAACGTCAGCCTCAAAACCTTAATGACATGGAGAGTATCTGCAAAAAGGAGTGGGACAAAATCCCTCTTGAGATGTGTGTAAATCTGGTGGCCAACTACAAGAAACGTCTGACCTCTGTGATTGCCAATAAGTGTTTTGCCACCAAGTACTAAGTCATGTCTTATGAAGGGGTCAAATACTTATTTCACTCATTAAAATGCAAATCAATTTATAACTTTTTTGAAATGTGTTTTTCTGGATTTTTTTGTTATTCTGTCTCTCACTGTTAAAATAAACCTACCATTAAAATTATAGACCAATCATTTCTTTGTCAGTGGGCAAACGTACAAAATCAGCAGGGGATCAAATACTTTTTTCCCTCATAGCACTCTAAAACTAATTGGTGCACCATCTAGAGACCCTGTGTGAGGGAGATGGAGAGTTTTAAAATTTGAAAAATAAAAAAATATTTAAAAACTAAATAAAAATTAATTTTAAAGAATAAGCAATAAAATTTCAGAAGATGTTAGTGTTCTCAATACATTGAAATCTCACAAAATTTAGTCATGATTTTAAATTTAAATTTAAATTTCTAGGTCACCAAGATCAGCAAGGATGCTGGCTGCCTGAAAAGATTGTCAATTCATCCTGTAAATCAGTTTCTCAACCTTGGCAACTTTTAAGACATGTGGGCTTCAATTCCTAGAATTACACAGCCAGAATGGGGTTGATGTCCACATATCATAAAAGTTGCCAAGGTTAAGAAACACTGCTATAGAGATTAAAACCTATTATCACACCTAGCAGTATACTAAGACCAATACTGCAAAAGGTTAGGGCATCATCTGTGATGTATACCTTTATTAACCTTACAGCTAAAAGTACAGAAGATGACATACAATAAAAATCACAAAAAATTAAAATCACTGTTAAATAGATGTTTAAAAATAACAGAAACTAAAACTCAAGCAGGTATAACAAAAATACTGAAAAATACAGAAAAACAGAAATGCAGAGACACCATATCTGTTTTCTTGCTATCATATTCTGTATGTAACTATCTTCACTACAGTCCCTTGGAAGGAATGTGGACTTCATAAGTGCCAAAGAAAAAGGGAAGAAGGAAACAAAGTACACCACAAAGGCATTCTATTTTTGCATTTCCTTCTTATATCAGGAGATGGGGGTGGGCTTTTTGGTTCATGGATTATTCCTAGTAATGAAGTTGGATATACTAATTTGAATGCCATACATCTAGTCTTATGAAATATTTCCTGTGATTCTTCTGATAACAAATATAAAATCAAGTTTTTTTCCTAAGTATTTGATTAGGTCAAATCAGTTAAACTATTATGTATTTCTGAATAGCAAAAGGTTAAAGTTTTAGAAAACAGTGGTTTCTGATTGCAGTTTTTTCCCCTGACAGCAAAAGACTCACAGCTTTTTCCCTGCTTTACAGTTTCACATGGACCTCATCCCACATAAACAGAAATATTCTTTTGTGCCTAAGTGGACAGCATGTTGAAATGTTTGATACTGAATTCCGTGAACTCTATGCCATTTCAGAGGAGGTTAATCTTTACAAGAAGTTGAACATTCCCTGTCCTTTCCGTCATGGTATTGGGAACCTTGGTTTTTCTTCATCTACTGTGGCCCGGAAAGTTATTAACCCAAAATATGGACTGGTGATAGGTATTCCTCCAGGAGAAATGATGCGCCGTCAGAGGGATGAGTCACAAGAGAAACTTGAAGGAAGAGAAGAACAAAATGAATCAAATAAACGACTAGATAGTTTTCTTAATGACCTTATAACAGTCAAGCAGGTGCTGCCGGATATAGAACCTCCACTTGAGAACTTGAGCACAGCAGAACCTCAAAAGTTATTTTCACGATTCCACTTAGACCTGAAATATAAATCTAAATCCAAAGAGTCTGTCTGTGACCATAGGAAGGATGAATTTGCCGATAGGGAAGTCAATTTCAAACAAGGTAAGAGGTTTGGCAGTGGATTTTTCAGAAAGGCCAAGCGATCTCCACCTTCGAATGCTGATGCCAGTTCTGCTACTAGTGAGACTGCTGAAGATTTGATGGGTGTGAAGGTACCAAAGGAATGCCATGCCAGTTTTCGTAGTACTGGAGACAATTCAGGTAACTTTTCCTAGAAAATATTCTGACTTGTTTTGTTTCTATCAATGAATACATGTCACACAATCAGCTTTCATTTTAAAAAGGCATACCTTTTCCTTCCTTTCTCCCTCTCTTTTGTCTTTTCTTTTTTTAAATTTATCTTACTGAGCAGTAGGAATGTAGTATCTTTATTGACATTATGCATTAAATGGGAATAGGGTTGCTGAATGAAAGTATGTTCTGGAAACCTGGCACTATATGTGTGACTTCATTCAATAACTTTGTTTTTAAGTGAGTAGGACAGAAGCTAAATACAATAATCCTTTTGGTTTTAAAAAGGAAATAGATTGTCATCTAGAGTTCTATGAATATGAATCATATATATACTGTATATACAGTATATGTCCTTAAACTGCTGTAAAGGACTTCGGTTAGAATTTCTGATGCAGATTTTGGAGTTATTGACATTCAGGAAGTACCTTGAGGTACTGCAGCTGAATTTTAAATAGATTCATTTTCTCTTATTTGCTTTCTTACACCCAAAAGTGTGAATAAGTTAATTTTGGCTTCTTTATCCATTATTAATGGTAAAAGGTTACATGGGATTAGGAACAAGATAAGCAAAGTAAATCAGGGCAGGTTCATACCTATGGAGACTGTAACTCTCATGCATTTTATCCTATGATAAATAGACTCCACAGAAAACAAATCCTTTTTTTGTTCTAATTTGTATAATGGTTTGGAGAAGATAAAAATAATACTGGAAAAGATCCATTTTTTCTTTTTAGTTTTCCACAAGCTAATACAGATGAGATAATTTCCTTCCTAACTGCCAAGGAATTTGTGTGAGGAACTTAGAAATTAAAAAAACAATTAAGCCACAAATGAGCTAGTAGCTAGCTAGTAATATATTAACTTTTGCACAAAACTTTGAAGTGACCTAGGGAGCCCCTCACAACATTTAAATTCTGGGGCTACAAAAAACGCAGTTTAGCTAATTTCATATTTGTAGCACTACTTCAGCAAACTATGCGCACATTTTAATTACTGCTATATTTTAATTACTGATATTCAGAGACATTTGCCCCACTATGGAAGGTAATACTTACATTATCATAATGGATATTTTATATTTAGCCATGGATATTTTATCCTTCATTAAATATTTCTTCTTTCTTGTTAACAATTAGTTGTCTATATTATTTTACAATAATATAGACTTGCAAGGGCTTATGACTTCTAGTTCCTTTACAGCAGCAACAAAATAATGTATTTTATATAAAAGTTGCCTCAGCTAAAATTTAAATACAAATGTTTGTTTAGGATTCTGAACTCAGTTTATATATGGTACTGAAGTAAATTCATATGAATGTACTTGATGACATTCTGTTTTTTTCATTCTGAAGAGAGATTTTTGTCTATACAGCTTTGTAATAAATGATAAATTAGATTTGATCAGTCTGAAGTAAACACATATATAACCTACTTTGCAAAATATAATTAATGAAAATGTGAAGAATAATTTTTTGATAATAAAAATTACAATGCTATGTATGGGAGGTAGCAGATTCAGATCATAGGAAAAGCAGGCAAGGGGTTAAAGTTCCCTTTACATTTCACAGCTTATTCTTGTATGGCATATATTATTAAAACTTCAGTGAGTTGCAGAGTTTATGTTTCAGTTGACTGCTGTTAAGGCCTCTTTTGGAGACTGGCAGTCTATCTTGTTTGAATAGAAATCTTTATAGCACAAACTGCACACATTTTTTAAGTAAATGTATTTTGTTTAATTGACCAGAGGGCATGTAGCAACCCCTAGTGACAGAATTACAAAATAACAGGGGCTATGTTCCTATGTCTGCCTAGCTTTCCTGATAAATTTGTATTTAATATCTATCAGATAAGCTATGCTGTTTTCTACTCTCTAGCATATTCTTATTATTTTTATATGTATGTAGTCCAACCTTGTCTAATTGGTGCTGTATTTCCATATTGTTGCCATATAAAGTGCATGGATATGTCCACAAAGTAACCACTGGTCAGCTTGAAAGAGAAATCTATAAACTGACATTAGTTTCTTTCAATGCTGCTGTATATTGACTAAGTTTATATAACAGCACCAATGTTTAATAAGTATGTTGATATAAAAGTTAAAGATCAAGAGTAATTGCCCAGAATAGATGAAAATATTGAAGGAGTCTAACAACTGAATACTAATACAGCAAGATATTTTTATTCATCTTTGATTACAATACTCAAAGATAATGTGTGAACAGTAGGATTTTCTTCTAGGAGTTGCAAGGTTGCTTGGCCAGTAATTAAATTGGAATCTTAGATGAAAATATCTTATATACTGTGTAGACTTAATTCATCCTTGCCAATCTAATGGCCCCAGATGTGTTAATTTCAGCTTCATTAATTCCTTGACCTTTCCAAGGTCAAAGCAGCAGGTAAAAGATTAGTTGAAATAAGGTCCAAGACAAAGCCTTGAAGTTTCAGCAGGTGGTCCAAGATCCAAAGTCATTCATAGGATTCAAGAGTTAGTATCTGAGGCACACAGTCTGGGTTAGCAAATAGTTATTTCCAATGGAGAGGCTTGGGGTTGCTGCTTCACTTAAGAACCAATGTGTTGCTCTTTATGGGAGGGTACAGCTTCATTCTTGCAAGGAAACTTGCAGAGTACTTTTGCTCATCTTTGCTTGGTGAGCCCTTGCACTGGGTGGACATAGCAGCTCAGACTCCTTCAGAGACCAATGGTAGGGTGTTCTTGTTGATTACCAGATTGTTCCACTTCAAATGCCTGTAGGTCAGTGGTTCTCAACCTGTGGGTCGGGACCCCATTTGGGGTCGATCGACCATTTCACGGGGGTCGCCAAGCAAGGCTGTCCGCCATTTTTTTCCCCTTTTCCGGCGGGTGCCTTACCTCCCTTGGGCTTGGCCAGCTGGTGGTTGGCCTGCTCCATCTCTGCCGCTTGCCAGCTACGCCTCGGCTGGTGCAGGGGGCGGAACCACGCATGCGCAGCGCTCCCGGGCAGGGAAAGTCCTCGACTTACGACTGGTTGGGTAGTCCTCGACTTACGACCGGTTTAGTCCTCGACTTACGACCGGTTTAGTCCTCGACTTACGACCGGTTTAGTCCTCGACTTACGACCGGTTGGGGTCGCGGCATTAAAAAGGTTGAGAACCACTGCTGTAGGTCCTCAGGCAGTGGCTCATCCATTAATTCTAGAGCAGGTTTCTGGCCTGAGCTTCTTATGATAGTCCATATGGCCATCAGCTGGAAAAAGTTGATCTATCTAGCCTGCTGTTATTTACTAGAGGTACTGTACTGTACAGGTACTACAGTCTTTTGTCTGCAGGTAGTCCTCAACTTACAACCATTCATTTAGGGACTGTTTGAAGTTACACCAGTACTAAAAAAAGTGACTTATGACTGCTTTTCATGCTTACAACTGTTGTAGCATTTCCATAGTCACATGATAAAAATTCAGATACCTGGCAACTAGCATGCATTTATGACATTTGCAGGGTCCCAGGTTCATATGATCACCTTTTGCAACCTTCTGACAAGCAAAGTCAATGGAGAAGCCAGGTTCACTTGTCACCATGTTACTAAGTTACCAACTGCAGGGATTCACTTAACAACTGTGGCATAAAATGGGACAAAATTCACTTAACAACTGTCTTGCTTAGCAATGCAAGTTTTGGTCTCAATTGTGGTCATAAGTCGAGGACTGTACTGTTAGTTCAAGATTACTAGGGAAGCTAAAATTGAAAACATTTAAATATCATCAGATTGGAAGTGTTCTATTGTAACTGACAGAAGCTGTGCAGAGCTCTTCAGCTAAGACGGGTATCAAACTGCCAGCCTGCAGGCCGGTTGCATCATGCAGAGGCCACGCCCACCCCAGCTCCGGCAATGCATTACCGGCAATGGGAGGGGCAGTTTCATCTTGACGCGTCCGGCCCATGGGCTGGCAGTTTGACACCCCTGTACTAGTGGGTAACAATATAAATTACAGGGGTGGGGATGCAGAATAATTTAAAATTTATTATTTAGAGTGTGAAAATGGCAAACAAGGAAAACAGTAAACATCTGTCTCTACTTTTCTCTTTCCAACACTAATTTTAAAGGATCTTGTTCTGAGCATTTATCTAGTTAATTCCCAAAGACAACTCTGAAATGTAAAAAATAATCTTATTAAAAGAGTTGGCCCAATTTGCTATCTTTGGTGACCAAGAGGGAAAAAAACTCCTCCTTACGTGAACAAAAACTCATTGGACTGGCAATTTAATCTTTCTTAAGGACTTATAGCAAACCACCATTCTATACTGAGAATGTAAACTAATTTGCATGTTACACATTGTTCTGTTCTCTATTACCTTACTCTACAACAGGAGAAGAGGGCCTTTGCATAGGTTCACCTGGCGTGCCCTTTCCTAGACTTTTATCATCATAGTCATCTTGCTTGTGGATCACTGCAATGGACTGTTCATAGAGCTGACCTTGAAGACCACTTGAAAGCTCTATGTATCTAGAATGCAGCAGCACAAGCAGTTGTGTGGATACTTTAATATGGCCATATAGCACTTCTGCTATGCAAGTTGCACTGGATATCTGGATGCAGTTCAAGGTGCTAGTTATCTCCTATAAAGCTCCTTATGGCATAGGGCCTGATTATCTGAGTGGCCACCTCACTCACATCATTTTTTCCTTTTCCATAAAATCTGATAGAGGATATGCACTTCATATCCCATCCATTAAGAATTGCACTTAATGGTACCCATGAAGTGTGCCTTCTCTGTTGCAGCACCTGCCCTCTGCATCCCCCATATGTTCAAACTGCCTTGACTGTGCCATTATTTAAATGACCTGTGCAACTCTTTAAATAAACCTTGTAAACTTGGCTTTTTCCTCAAACTCAGGTTAGGTTAGGGCCCTGTTCATCCAGATCATATTATGACATTTTTATGGTGCGTGTTTGTTCCTCATGTTGTGTTCATATGGTTTTAGTTTTGGTTTCAGAAATGATGATTGGTCTTCATTTACTTATACAGTTCCCAGAGTCATTGCTGAGTTTAGCAGCCTTACAAATCTACATTGTAAAGAAATAAACAAATCTGTCTTTAAGCTTTTCAAGGAAGTGCTGCAATGCAGCAGTTGTGGCATTAGTGTCACATGAACAGCTTGCTGAATATGTGGCTCAGGCTTCACCCCCTCTCTTCCTGTTTGCTCAGTTGGGGGCCTTTCCCAGCACCAATGCCTGTGATTTACTTGTAGGGAATAATTAGGCAAAATTGTTGGCAGCAATAAGCAAGCATCACAGTTGCTGGGGGCAACAGCTCTAGAGGAAAGGAACAGACTGGGGGTGATCTTAGGTGGAATTAATGTGGGTGGGCTGCTGCTGTCTTTCCTACGTTTGTTCTGCTAGCATATCCAGGATGTCCAGCAAGAGATGAAAGGTGTTGAGACGACATTGTTAAGGAGACATCAGGTTGAAAAAGTTGATCTAATGTTTAAACATGTTTTAAAATAACACTTCAGAACCAGAGAATTGTATACTCTTATCTATAAAATTTTTATTAAAGAGCCTCAAAGATACTTAACAATTCTCATGATATTTTGAAGGTTTTTAAATGGGTATTAATGTACAAATTAGGAATAGCTGCAAGAAAGATGCTCAATAGTGAAAGTATTTTTAGAGTTTGTTTCTCTTACACTGAATCAGGAGTACCTCAGCAGAAATAAAAAGTGAGAATCTTGTCTGTATGATTCAGGGATAGCAACATACCAGTTTTCTTTTTAAAATATATGTATATCTATTTTTGTATATTTTCTACTACAGGTACTGTGAGTCCAAGTTCTCTCCCTGGGGGAAAAACCAAAGAGTCAATCTGTGTGGTCTCATGACTAAAGAAAAACTACTGGAAAATTAGAATTCAAAAGGCATCTACTGGAATATACAATAAGTGCATTCTTTCAAACTTTCAATCTGACATCCTCACAATGCTGCATGTAACCACTGCACTTTCCAAGACAGAGCTGGGTTTGCCAGTTAAAACATACCTACTGAGTAAATGTGTGTTCTGGAAGATCATTGCATAATGGTAGCAATATTAATTAAAAAAAACATGACAACTTCCATTTTGGATTTAACTCTATTGCAATGTAGCTGTTGAAGAGTTGTGGCCTTATAAACGTCTAAATAAATAACAGGTCAAGGTGCTTTCCTTCTTTTAGTGATGTTGTTTTAGTTTGTCAGGCTTCAGATTAAAAGAATGTTGTTGCATTATTGATAATTGCACTGTATTTTATTAACTTGCTGGGATAGAAAATTAAAAACAAAACTAGTTTGAATAAAATATTTTTAAAATGTATAACATCTCTATACTTTTTTTAAATTAAATCTTCTGTCCTGTTATTCATCCTTTTCAGTAATATTAACGTATGGATAGTCAGCCTTCCCAAAAGTACCATGCTCACAGAATAGCAGATGGGCCTACATTCATAGGCTTGAAGACTATGAATTATGGGGAAATGTTAACAATGAAATTACCATTCTAATTCCTTTCATTCTATGTAGAACTTGACTCTTAAGCCAACATAGGATGTAAGAATAGCTATTTAAATGAAGATCAGTACAAGAGATGCCTGCTGAGATGTACAGGACAGGCAAAATTCGACATAGCCTCCATAAATAGAACAGACTGTAATGACCTGTAGTAAACAATAAATATTGGCTATTATAAATAATATTTATAATATTTAATTCTTCTCATTCCCCTTATTCTTTTTTAAATGTATTTATTACATAGCTAAAATCTTCATTTAAATATCCACAGATTCCAACTGTTTCATGTCCTGTAGATACAGCATTATGTGGACTTTGCAACTTTCTACTTTCATACTCTATGAATAGCTTCAAATATGATATATTCCAGACCGATAGGCCAGGGGCTTGTACAATTAAATACAGGTACAATGCATGTATAACAGATTATATAAATGGCATTACATTGCATTTTCTGCCATACCTAGGTGGTGAATTTTAATATAATGATATGATATGATATATGATATGATATGATATGATATGATAACAATACAATACAATACAATACAATACAATACAATACAATATAATATAATAATAAAGTTGGACGGGACCGTGGAGGTCATCGAGTCCAACCCCCTGCTCAGGCAGGAAACCCTACACCATTTCGGACAAATGGCTGTCCAGTCTCTTCTTAAAAACTTCCAGTGTTGGAGCATTCACCGCTTCTGGAGGCAGGTTGTTCCATTGGTTAATTGTTCTAACTGTCAGGAAGTTTCTCCTTAGTTCTAGGTTGCTTCTCTCTCTCTCTCCTTGATTGAATGCATCTTCTAACACCTATGCTAATCAAACCACAAGATGGATGGATGGAGATATAGGTAGTCCTTGAGTTTTATAAGTGTAATGGAGCCTGCGAATTCCACTCGGAACTCGAAAACTGATAGAATCTCGTACCTCGAAGGAGATCATTCCCTTGCTCGTTAAAACGCACGTGGCTCGTTAAGTGAACATGAGGTATCTCAGGGTGGGGAAGGCCATCGAGGACCTAGTGATGGAACAGGCCACCAAGGCCTCCCCAACTCACTAAGATACCTCATGCTTCCCCCTCCCTTCCTGCTGCGCTGGAATCACCTGGTAAAGATCCATTTCCTCTCTGCCACAGTTTCTGCTGCCGCCTGGATCTGAGGCCGGGGAATGCTTCTGCGGCCCTCCCACGGCCCAATCTGGGCTCCAGAGGCCTTTTCCAGGCTGCTATCGCGCCCCCACTACGGCCCAATCCAGGCACCAGAAGCCTTTTCCAGGCCACTGCTGCCCGGAAACAGGCCACCAGAGGACTATGTAAGCATGCCCTGGCCTCAGATCTGGGTGGCAGTGGCCTGAAAAAGACCTCCGACACCCTGATCAGGCATCCAGTGGGCTGCGGAAGCATCCCCGGCCTCAGATCCGGGCCACGGGGGGGGCGCAGAAAGCCTCAGATCCGGGTGGCAGAGGCCTGGAAAAGGCCTCTGATAGCCCGATCCAGCCTCCAGAGGCACGTGGAAGCATCCCCCCGGCTTCAGTTCCATTCTCTGTTGCAGAGAACAGAGGCCTAAAATACCATGAGATCACGCAAGATCAGTAGCGTGAGATCTCACCCCACTGATCTTGCATGATCTTGCATTACTTTAAGCCTGTTTTCTGTGAACACACCGAAGACCTGGAACAGCCAACAAAGCAAAGGATCTCAGTCTTTGCAGGGTGAGTATTGAAGGCCTGGTACCTAGGGAGACCCGGGCGGGGGTGGGGAGGAGGGGAATAACCTGGGTGAATGTTGCAGTGCCACTGCGGTTGCTTGTAAGGGCGAATGACTGCCGTGGTGCAGCAACATTCATAATTTCGGGACTTGCTTGTAAGCTCTAGGCGCCCATCACATAACTTTGAATGAGCATTAAGTGAACACTCGTAACTCGGAGATTACCTGTATATATATAGATACACACACACACATTTATCTGGATCAGATAAATGGCACCTTATTCTAGTTCTTTCAGATTTGGGGGCCATACTTTATTAAGCATTTTTGTACTGTATTTTGATTCATTGCTACTATGCAAACTTTTGTACTTACAGAACATTCCTTCATTTTTTCCATCTATATCTTACCCACTTTATGGTGGCTACCATAATGCATTATTTATTATTTATAAAGAATAAAGAGGGGTTTTTCATGTTATCCCGAATTGTTTTTGAAACCTAGTATTTTTTTCTAAAACTTTCTGTTTTAATTTCCCATGCCATACCATTTTGATACATATTGTATCTGATCTTAGTTTCATGCTTACTATCCCAATCATGCTTCTTTCGGGGTTGAATGACAGCTAAGACATTGAGCAATGTAGATTGATTTTTCTGGACATTAAGCATTAGTAGCAATAGCAATAGCACTTAAACTTATATACCACTCCATAGCACTTTACAGCACTCTCTGAGCAGCTTACAAATGTCATCATATTGCCCCCAACAATCTGGGTCCCCATTTTACAGACCTCAGATGGAAAGCTGAGTCAACCTTGTGCTGGTCGGGATCAAACACCTGGCTGTAGGCAGAGTTAGCCTGCATTACTGCATTATAACCGCTATGTCACCATGGCTCCTAGTAGTAGTAATTCGTGTTGTTTGATAAGGATGTCCAAGAACAGTAGGATTTTGTTCTTTTCCCATTGTGCATTTTAATGCTGGCTTTTGTTGATTTCAGTGTTGAAGGACTCTTCTAGATTTTCTAAATTATGAGCTTAAGTTAAAGCAATGTACCTTGGAGGACTGAAATGTCAGCTGAATATTTTAAATGTCAGGTCTGAATCCATTTATTATGTTACTAGACAACCCACAACCTGCTGGGTCATTGTTTCACAGATATTTCCTTACTCAAACATAAAACAGAATGACTACTGGTGGGCAAAAAATCAGTGGGAGGAGTAACTTCTAACTTCCAACAAGCTTCCTCATTGATTTCTTTGTGCAAGGTGGCAGGGAGCATCCTTATTCTGGACCTTTCCTTGCGATTCTGGAGACATGCAGTCCTTTCATCCTCTGTTTCTTCATTCTCTTCCTTATCACATCCTGACATTTGACGTCATCTCTTGACCATGACCCTTTCTTTCCACATGGCATTATTACACTGATGATATTTTAATTTATTTTTACTACAAAAAATAAAATGGTACATTGCCGTTCTCATTTCAGAAATGTTTAATCCCTTCCAGCTTCTCCAATGACTTCTAGTCATTAGAGAGAATCACATGACAGGACAGCAGGACAGTCTACCTGATCTCCAGTGGCTGAAGGAGGGGCCAGTCCAAACTCAGTTTCAGAGTAGGAAACAGTTGAAAAGTGAAACACGATGGATAAGGATTAAGGTATAGTGGCTAATGTATTTGACTGACACCAAAGAGATCCAGTTTCTATTCCACCTGCAACCATAGCACTAACTTGGTGGCCAACCTATCTCACAGGGTTGCTATGAAGAAATACAGGCAGCTGGAGCACTATGTATGTGCCTTGAGGGCCTAACAAAGATGGAATATATATACATGTGCATGTTTGTATGCCAGAGAAGAGACATGTAAAGCAATAAAAATATCCAGACTTTTCTTTGTGTACCTTAAGGTCATTCTTTAAGAGTCACATGATGAGTCAGTACCTTGGTTCTAGATGGGGGAAGGAGCAAAGGATTGCAAGAGTGACGGAAATTCACAGAATGTTCAAAATGACCATCATGTGACCACAACAGCACCCCAATCACAGTAGCAGATTGAAGTAGCTATAACTTTCCCAAATTTCATTTCCTGGGAGTCAGGGTCCCAGATTTTGGATGCATTCTGTATTCAAAATACAGAATTCAAAAATTGATTAAAAAATGTTGCTCTATAATGCACTGTTTTGCCTACTTAATGGTAATGAAGAGAATTTTAGTAGTATGTAGAAGATGTAACAGCTGGCCAATTTGTTCTTCAGGCATTGCGAGAGCTATTGTGCTGTTACCTCAGAATATCAGATAATTAGAATTGAATAGCATTTAAATCTTCACTCAGATGCCTAGCTCACTTGGTG